GCTTACGGCCTCGTGGCCAGGCGAGGGGTCAGCAAACCAGAGCACGGGGCAGGGAAGCTGGGGGCAGCCCGGCACCCGAGCAGGATCCTAGCTGCCGCGGGCGCCCACAGCCCGTCTGGGAGTCTTCGCACCCGAACCCTAAGTGTGTGTCCACAAAGCCTGACCTCACAGCCCCAGCTGGCAGCCCCGACCTGGCCCAGGCTCCGCTGCCGGCCACGTCGCCTGGACCCTTCCAGACAGCCAGGCCTGTGCCGCGCCCGAGGACGCGCTTTGGAGCCGGGCGAGGGGCCTGCCGAGGAGCGCAGAGCTGCACAGAAATCCCCACCCGTCCCGTCAGCGGCCCACGAGCGAGGCCGGGGAAGCCCCGGCAGTTAGAGAGAACTGGACTTTAACGTTAGATGTTAACTTCATACGTCACAACAGGAAAATAGGAAAATCTGGGCTCCTGCCCCCGCCCACCCTTTGAGAGTCCTCGGCGTGAGCCCCGCAGGTGAACTGCCCTGGAAGGGCCGGCGGGCAGGAAGGGCTTCAGCGCCTGGGGAAGCGGCGGGCGCCGCTGCCGCCAGGGCCGGGCACTGAGCAGCAGCGTGCGAGGACTTCCCAGGGAGAACAGAAACCTGCAGTGAAAGTCACAAGGGGAAGCGGCCCGGCCTGTCACGGCAGCCGGCGGCTCTGGCCTCGGCCCAAGGAGGGGGCGCGCAGGGCCAGACCCCGGCCGCAGGCGGCAGCCCTGACGGTGCAGGGGAGGACGGAAGCCGGGGGGCCAGGGAGGGAAATGTGACGGCCTCGCCAGCCCAGGGGGACGCTGCAGGAAGCCCAAAGTCCCCGCGTGTCCTCATCCCGACTTCCTCTTTGACTGGGCGGGGGAGCTGGTGCCAGCTGGGTCCCGCTGCGCCTCAGTGGGCTGGGCTGCACTGCAGGATCTGGTGGGGGGCAAACAGCCTCCGGGGCGCTGGGGCCTCCCCCGGCCTCCCCAGCACCGGACAGTTCTCTTTGTTGTCCCTGCTGTCCAGCCCGGTGGGCGGGGCTGTGGTCTTCTTGAAGTAGCAGAGGCGGCACACGGAGTGGTACTTGTCGGCCCCCCCAATCACCTCGACCTGCACGGGACAGTCGCGGGTCAGGCACGGC